GTGGCTTGTCATAGTTTTGCGCCTTAACCAGACTTCATTGTAAGAAAAAAAACAGCCGCTAAAACAGCACAGGGTAACAGAGGGGTGGCAGGTTTGAAAGGACATTTCACACAAACCTCCTTGGGAGATACAAGGTTAGCTGAAGGTCAGCTTCGGTGGGATGATTCATTGTTACTACTGATAGACATGACATGTCTCCAGCTGTACACTTACACTGAGCATCCTTCATTATCCTCTGCAGAGGTTAATGCATCAGCCTTGTATGACTGAACAATAAACCCATTGGAATATATGAGAGCTCAACCTAGAAATAGAAAAAAAAAAAGATTAAAGGATGCTAAACACAGCATGGGCCTCTATTGAATGCGTGTGTGTGTTCATATTTCCAACCTGTTGCTGCTCTCCTGAATAATAAATGATGCTTACATACCAAGAATGGCCGTGTCCTCTCTTTTTGATAATTCTAGATCAATGGACTGCCTCCAGGAGCAAGTGGGGGACACAGACCGGAGGGGGGAGTCAGGGAGGACAAAAATGAAACAAAGTGTGGGTGTCTGTGTCAGGCATCGCTGGGTGTGTATGTGTTTGTGTCACCACGAAGGTCAGCCCTCTTTATGACTAACAGGACACCATGGCAACTCTCTGCCTCCAGTGCCACACTTGAATTTTTTTTTTTCTTGAGACCACAACCTGCCCTCCTCTCTCTCTATCTGTCTCACTCTCTGTGCTTGTAGCGGCTTAAACAGGAACTTTAACAGTCCGTTGGTCACCGCGCCCATAAACGTCCATGACAGCAAATCTTCCCACAGACACGCCCAGGTGCCAGCCCAGAATTTAAACTCTGAGTATAACTGTCATCCACCGTCTACTGGTGAGACAGAGAGAGAGAGATAGAGAGGTGGAAACAGAGAGAGAGAGTAAAGTGAGAAAATGGCGCTGAGCATTTTGAGGCAATAAATGGGGGGATTAAGGGTTGGTAAATCACATTAATTAAGGTAAAAGACTGGTTTCACGGGGTGGGAGGATGTGAAACAGAAGAAAGGTAAGAGGGAGGGAGAAAAACAAATATACGTGACAGACAAAGGGGGGGGGGGGGGGGGGGGAAGCAGGAATCAAAGTGGGAAAAGAAGAAAAAAGAAGGGAAGAAAAAAAAACCTTGCACCTGCAGCTCCCAGCTGTGCTGTGCTTATTCTGAATCATTGCTCCACCCGGAGAGACTGCTTAGTGTTTCATTTGGAAAACAGGGATTTATTGCCAAGGAGGGGGCTGCTACTGTGCCCATATGTGGGTGGGTGTGTGAGGGGGGAGGTGTTGGGCGGTGGGAGGAAGGTAGGACTGTATGGCAGCTTTTTTGTGGAGAGGAACTTGGCTCCCTACCTGAGCATCTATAAATAAGATCCCACACACTATAATACACTCTTAGATATAAAGGTGCTACCTAGAACCATATGAGGTGCTTCAGCTTGGCCCCATAGGAGAACCCCTTGTGGTTCCTGGTAGAGCCTTTTATAAAGGTTTTATAAAGGTGCTACCCTGAGCCCTTCCAGATGTTTTTCTGAGAACCCAACAAAGGTTTATACCTAGAACCATTTGTGAAAGGTTCCACCCAGACCAAGAACTTTCCACCTTCTAAGACCCTGATCACACATCAAGCACTTGCCGGAGGCGCCATTTTGTAATTGTTTTTAATGAGAATGAAGCTTTTTGCTTGCGGTTTTTGCATTGCAACGCACCTGGCATTATTTTTGTCAGCACGCTCTGAACTCCTCGAGCTGAAAAAGCTTCAGCTCAAAGCAGAACAACACCCTACGTCATCTCTTTTTCGTGATCTTTTTTCCCGTTGTGCAATCAGATGTTTTGTGAGGCGGGCCTTCTGTGGTGGCCACAACAACAGGTTTACAGTTGGCAAACAATGGAGGAGAAACTGGTGGTGGGAGTTGCTGGAAACCCAGAGCTATACCTCCCGACAATAGACATCAGGTTGTCAAACTGCCCCAGGGTCATCCTAAAATAGGCCTGGAAATGGCAATCCTCGAGGCAGAGCTCCTGGACCAGATGGTGGTACTCCCCCTAATCCTGGTAGGTACTAAGTACTGTCAACTGAAAAAAAAAAAAAAAAATGGTAGATTGATTACATGGAAAGGTTAGAACACCAGGACGACTCGACTGCATTACCTATAGATCTTTCTCCCACTAATCATGATTTTAGTTTAAAAGGTTAGCTTGGGGACCAAGGGAACCACATCCAGCAGTCTAGGGCGTCATGAGGCTCCTAAAGGGCCAAGGCTGATGTGGTTCAGTGGAACCCACAACACTCAATGTTCCCAATTGTATTTTAGTGGGTAGAGATTTCAATAAATCACTACGACTTGGGGTTCTTTGCTATTTCAGTGCTGCAGTAGGGTTGGGAGCGGAAGCTTGGTTACAAATTAGAACCAAATACAAAACGCCAACTGGCAGCATTTTCTGCAGACCATGTGGTATTGTATGGCATGAAATGATAGAAAAGATATTAAATACGGCAGAACACAAGTAAAGTGACTTGATTAAGGGGATTCCAGATACATCTACATTTGAAAACAACATTTGAAGCACAGGTAAACGTGAATTTTTGAGGGTGAGGATCTTTAAACACACATGTTTTAAACAATCCTTGAAGAATTCTTTCTTCCAAAAACTTAATGAAACACTCTGAACCCTTAAATATCCCTTTCTCCTTCTTCAAAAAAGGGGTTCTTCTGAGGCACCTGGTTCTGGGTACAAACTTGGCCCTTCTGGAGGAACCCTAACTTCTAAGAGTGTATGGTGAGAGGGAGAGAGGGACATCCCAGTGATTGTGAGAGGGGAGAAAGCACTTATAATTTTCATGTTCACATGTTGGATACAGATGTGTTTGCGTGTATGTGTGTGTTTCTTAACAAGCTGCATCACTGGAGGGCAAAACATATGATTAATGTATTGCATTAAAGCACCTTATCCACTTCAGGGATTCATATACATGTGGGGTTATTGAAAATATTTACAGCTACTGCTTCTGGTGAGACAGCCAGAGGATAGAGATTCCCCCGTGGAGCTGGTTCAGCCTGTAAATCAGCCTGCCAGAAGTACAGGCCAAAGGACAGCCAGCACCATACATCTCACCTGCTACAGATCTGGCACTGTGTTTGAGTGAGTGTGTGTCTTTGAATGAACTTCCACAGCAGCAGGCGCACTGTGTGGAAATGCGAGAAAAATCTCTTGGTTTTGTAGGCATGTTACCAGTCTCTTGATAGGGTTGGTGAATAAATCTAGTCAATGGAAAACCTCCCCAGTGTGTGTAGTAAGGTGGGCGGTGTTTGTGTGTGTTTCTGTGTTCAAGAGGGGGCAGGTCCTAATCAATAAAACACAGAGCTAAATAATTTCTTTGTAGGCACTATTAGCCTGAATCATGACCGCCTCAGATCAGAAGATCGAACTACAACGTGGAAATGAGCCGGTGGCTTATCCAATTAAAAATGAATAATACACAGCAGAAAATGTGCACTAAGCCTACACAGGTCAAACAAGAAATACCAAATGAGCTGTGCTGTCTGCTGCCTTTCAAAACATCCTGCAGGAGAAGGAACCAGAGAGGGGAGAGGGAGCAAGGATGAGAGAGGAGAGCGAAGCAGCACAACAACACAGAGTTTCCCAAATGAGCTGTTTGCCTGCCACGCTTCGGGGCTCTCCCATTGTTGCTGTGTTTAGGAATACTCTCAGCTTGGTTATTTTAAAATTAGCTGCCACTTAAAACTTTTGCAGCGTGGCAGGAGAGGTGCCACCATCATTAGAGTAAGTACACAGTGATGACTCTAATGGTAATTTGCACTGATCTTGGAGGGAGTGTGTGCTTTGCTTTCTGTCTGCCTGAAGGGATCAGAGGTCAAGGCAGCTGGTGAATCTCTGCAGCTGGATCCATCTTTGCCCAAGGGCACTTCAGCATTGTTGTTGGGGATATTCATGCCAGAAAGTGGACAAAAGTGTTGTCACAGAAGCATCAGATTGAGCAGCCTTGATGCTGCCCTTCTCCATTTAAATAGTCGTCTAAAGACTTGACTGGCAGACACAGCTGTTCCGAGTTACCTCTCTCCCTCTCTTCCCATATTAAAGTCAGATCAAACGGGCGAGTGCCTCTATCACAGTGGGAATTAAGCCTTTATTAAATATCCCGAGAGAACCCACGTCTACGGAGAGCAATAGACTGAGTGAAATACCCAGAGAGACGCCACAAATAACACAGCAGAGCGGCCAAGTTAGTTCTCTGCCTCTCTGCCTCTCAGTCTCTCTGCCCCCCACCACCTCTTTCTCTCCTTCTCTCTCCTCCTCCTTCTCTCCTCTCCTTCATCCGCCTGTTTGCTTCCCACACACACGCACACACACACACACACACACATACACACACACACACACATACACTCACAAGCCCAAAGAAACGCTCAACTTGGTGGCTGAGCGGAATATAGATGCGACTAGAGACAAGAGCCGGAGCCGTGATTTGCACATAGACATAAGATACACCCCTGCGCTCTCTTTCCCTCTGAGCCCCCTCTTCTCCTCCTCCATCCTCTGTTTCTCTCCCCTCTTCCTCTCTTCCCTTCTCTCTCTCTTCTCGACAAAATGTGAAAGGCATTCCCAAAGTGTGCGACCACTGCAGGTCCACATCCGACACCCTCTGTCCCCCTCCAAAAAACACTCAGTGCCCCGAATGACAGCCATGCGCACAGAGGCGACTAAACGGGGATAAACTTGCTCTTGGCACGGCACGGACCCGGTTTGGCAGTGCAGGTGACTGTGTGGCTGTGTGTGTGTGGTACATGCAGACTCGGGACAAACTTAACAAGCCAGCTTTGCGCCAGGAACAGAGTGAGACCAGACGGATGCTCAAATAAAAAAAGGAGAGAGTCGGATCGCTCTCAGTGAGATTGTCCCCCCCAAATCCAACACTCTCTTTGACGCACACACACGCATCTTTCCTCTCTTACCTGGGGGACGAGGAAAGCCAAGAGTATGCGGACTCCAATCTCCATGGTCGGGGTTCAATTTCTCGCGGTGTGAAACAGAAACAGATTCAAGACAGGGTGATAAAGGCTGGGTCAGCTCTGCTCATAATTCCACTGTCCAAGCGCCGGGAGAGAGGAGGAAAGCCTTTCGCCGTGAGCCGCCAGCTGCCAACTTCCCCCAAATACAACTGCAGTCTGATCAGCAAAGCATTGGATAGTGGAGCCGAGACCACAACCAATAGATTTATGAGGAGGACAGAGGGAGAGAGAGAGGAGGGGGAGGCGGAGGAGGTGAGACGGAGGGAGAGGGGAGTGGTGGTGGTGGGGTGAGGAGGAGGAGGAGGAGGAGGGAATGAGGGTCGTCTCTATCTAAGTGGAGGGTCAGCATCACTAATTTTGTTGTTGCGCACGAATTTAGACGCCTCCAATTATTTGGCGGAGTTTGGAGTGATCGGCAGGTGCAGCAGCAGGTTTCGGGGTTACATCACACGTATCACGGGCAGTTTTTTCTCCCCTCATCAGACAGCTTTATAGCCCTTATTCCAGCATCTATTATCCGTCCCCTTTTAAAGGTGATTTACTGCTCCTATCATCTTACAGTATATTCAATGGGAGACACGAGGGCGCTCGGGAAGCCTCTATTAAATGCATCCTGTGTGTGAGCGCACACAATAGCGGCGATGCCTGCGGGGCGCCCTGAGAGAAAGAAACTTCAGTAATGATACATTTTAGGGTTGTGTAACATTACAATAAAACTACTGCATAATGGCTCCGAAAGAACATCGCTTTTTTCAGTGTTGACAAGACCATAGGTTACAATCTTGTGAATAATTCCCGACTTTAATATTCTAAAACCGTCCCAGTGATTTTTAATTTTTCATCATGAGCGCTGTTTTTCCTTCCTCCTAGCCCTATAATGAATTGTTAATTTGTGTGGGGAATTTTATTTTGTTGTTTGTCAGAAGAAGCGTTTTCTTTTTTCAGCCGGGGTGCGCACCTCAGCCTAGGGGCATCTCTCTCTGTCTCCGTCTCTATGTGCCTCTCTGCTTTGTATTTGGAGTCAGTTTAGTCAGATCTTCTTTGTTACTGTGTGTGTACATCCTTCATGAAGTTATAGTCTTACGGGAAAAAAAATGGAACTTACAGTGTAGGGCTGCAACTAACAATCATTTTCATTATCAATCAGTCTCCCAAAGCTTGATTAATGGATTGATTGTCCAGTCTATAACACGTCAGATATTTTATAAAAGTCTATAAAATGGTTCATAAAATAGTAAAAAAAAAATGCCCATTATAATTTACCAGGGCACAAGCAGACATTAAAAATACCTTGTTCAGTTAAACCAACAGCCCAAAACCCATAAAAAGTAACTTTACTTTCAGATGAGACTGAAAACCAGTGAATGTCACACTGTTGAAGCTCGAGCCAGTGAATTTGGAGCATTTCTGCTGAAAAGGTTATTTAAAAGTTAATCAATGCCCAGTATTGTTGCATATTAGTTATCTGTTGAATGACTGATTCGATAATTCGACTTATCATTTCGGCTCTACTACAGTGCATCATAGATTTACATGTGATCTCCATTCATAGGCTGTTTCACATGCAAGTATAATGGAGGCTTTTCTCTTTGCCCTGTTCTTCTGAATCAACAAGAATATTATCTCAGAATTGGGAAAAAGAGCTTTTATGGCAAACTTTCTGCTCTGATAACCTTCTGAGGCTCACAGTTTTGTTTGTAATGCATTTTAATGTCTCCTAGCTATTTAGGATCAGTAGGACCCAATAAGTATAAAAAAACTAAACATTGTCAATGATAATAATGTCCTAATGTCTTCAAACGAGATGACAATAAGGTCCCAATGTCTTCAAACGAGTACATCCTAATTAATAGCATCTTAGCTTGTTACTGTTGCTAAAATTAGTCAAATTTGCTTCCTTGTCAAACTGCAAACATTATTAATCATAATTAAACAAGATTCAACCATAAAATGTGATCAGGTTTTGGACCTTGTCCACTTTTGTGTGGAGATCGGTTGCCATCTTGTTTTTTTAAGTGTATTGTGCTCTTACTACCACTAGATGGCACAAACACGTACACGTACAAGGACAATGGGTCTAAGTTAAGAAGGATGAAGTGTAAGGTCAGGTACACCCAAAATGTGATGTCCACATATGAGGACACAGGGTCCTATTGTCTTTAAATGAGTACTTTTTAATTAACAGCATCTTAGCTTGTTACTGTTGCTAAAATTGGTCAAATTTGTATGCAATATTAAACTACAGATGCTATTAAGCACAAATAAACAAGTTTCAGCCATAACATTTGATCAGGTTTTGTACATCATCTGTAGACTAGATTAAGCAGGATGAAGTATGAGGACGCAGGGTCTCAGGAGGATATTCTCTTTGATTCAGAAACACAGAGCAAAAGAATTTTATCAAGAGAATGCATTATACTTCTAAATTTTACAGGTGTGGCTGTTCAGATTGGCAATAACAAGGACCACTGACGGGCTTTTATAAAGAGCAAGTCTGGTAACATTTGTTTTTCACGTTGCCAACAGATCCAATAAAAAGACCAAACCACGACAATGAATTTAACTTTCTAAGTCCTGCCTGTGTAGCCAAAGCCTGATTTAGCTTATATTTTCCTGCCATAAACCCCCATTGTTACTCAAAAACTGAGCCACACTGTTGCACCAGGTGACATGTTCCTTCATTATGATGAACGTGGGCGTAGTTTATTCTGAGTCAACCCAACATACACCAACCCTGCTGCTGTAGATACTCACTTAAACACCAAATCTGCGGCTGACAATGGGCCCCACAAATTGACCATTTGCTTTTGTTTATGTCATGTTTACTAAAAGTTACAGCACCCAACTGCTTTGGGAAGTTATTTCGCCTTTTTTTATAACATGAGCATGTAATCGTGACCTGATCCTCAGTAGGAAGAAATAAGCTTGGTGCAGAGCGCAGCAGACAGCATAGAGAAGCTGGAAAGTTTTGAGAGACAGACATTGTCAGCTTGGTATTTTAGGTGACAGCAATCTCTTTGTTCAGGTGTCCTTCAGCAAAACACTCAGTGGCTCCAGTCGTGCTGTTTTATAACTGACTGTGACCTCCGAGTTTCTTGTTGGAAATAATCAATTAACTACCACATAATTATTAAAGTGGAGGATGGCTCATTTGAATTCAACCCCGTGGCTGATTAAAGTCCTGATGGCAACATATATTACCGCAAGCATACAGTAGATTGATATTAGTTAGTCATTTTATGGTTTCATTAAGTCAAAAAGGGCCTACTGTCACCTGAGTATTTATACTGTTTAATTGTTGCGTAATTAAAGGTCCAGTGTATAGGATTTAGGGGACTCTATAAACAGAAATGGTATATAATAGTCATTAGTTTATGATCCTTCGAAAGTAAGAATCGTTATACTTCCATTACCTTAGTATTAGCTGTTTATATTTACAACTGTACATACAGAGCGGGCCCTCCTCCACTGAGTCTACAGTAACCCAGAATGGACAAACCAAACACTGGTTCTAGATAGGACTATTCATGTTTTTATCTCGGCCACCATAGTTCTCCGACAGACTTTGCACATGGGCGAAGTTTCAGTTCTGTAACCTCAGATGAGGTAAATGCCAATAAATCTTACACCTTTAATTAAAAGGTTGATGTGGAGCTAAAAAGTTGACCTGGGTTTTTTGGGCATGGGAAGTTACAAGAGTTTGAGTATGTTTTCATTTAAAATTCTCCCAGGGGTTGTAGGGGTTTTATTCGGTTTTGCTCCATGACTTTTAGTACCCTAAAAAAAAAAGCATCCGTGGTGAGTGATGGTCGAGGTTTAGACATCAGCCGATCCAGACACCACAGAGTGTTATTCAATGAGCACACAAACTTTTTCTCATTGTGGGCCCAAAGGTCAGATGTCTATTAAAGTAGCCCATCAGTCTTTCTTAGGGGGCAGAGCTGTCAAAGAGCACACTTAATCTTCATGCAAAGTACCCTTAACCTCCAACACACAGACAAATCATACGGAGTGAAACAGACGAATGGGTCTGCTGTGCAGAAGAGCAAAGGAACTCTGAGATAATGGAAACATTCAGATCTTCCCTCTGCCTTTCTCCCTCCCTATGCTATCGTTCTGTCCATTTCTTATGTACTTTCATGAGGGTGTATATAATGCGGTGACAGATTTCTGCATATATCCATCTTGAGTAGGGGAGAGAAAAAGTCAGGTGAGGGTGTCTCTGTGCCTTACCTTTCTCATTGGATGTGAATAATGAGGCCAGGAATTGTTGTAACGCCTGAAGAATTGCTTTTCTTACACAATTTTTCTGCCATATTCATTTATCAGTTAAGTTAAGACATCAGGAACATATTACCAGTGACTGCCTGGTTCATAGCACACAAGGTCAGCTGCCGAGGATCCGGTGCACTCTCCTGGAGAGGAGGATGACTGAAATAATCAATTAAAATGACATGGGTGGGTGAAGAATAAAATGTCAAACCATCTCTAACATTTCCTGTCCGATATTTCTAAATCACCCCCACATATTTTAGACTTCTGGGAACCACAGAAAGAAAGTCATTTTCAGTTTGTAAGCCATGACTGAGTGGAATCAACAAATCATGACAGAAACGTCTGTTTGGTGGCACAAGAAAAGAGGAGGCTGGCTCAATCACTTTGACAGCTTTTAGACTCAACTTAATTAGCCCAAAATTCTCATGACTTAGTTTTGTGAACACAAAAACAGAGGGAATCTTAATTGCGATGTTTAACAGACTTTTTTCTGAGAATCTGGCTAATTGTAATGCTCTTCTGTGAACTGAACTGAGTTTTTGAATTCTGATATTTTTGTGTGTCAGTTTGATACCAAACATTGCCGTTTGCACTACTTTCCTTATCAGGTATTTTCATCTTCTGCTTGCATTCTGGGAAATGGGCTGACGACTTGTGGAGATAAGATTGAGATGATTACCAAGTAATTTAAGGAAAATATCGACAATACTTTACGACATGAAAAGCCATCGATCTTTCCTTGGATGTGAGGGACTGAGCAGATAACGCACATGAAACACAGACAGAATGCAACATGAAGTGTTTTACTAAAGTTTTAGATGTTCAAGGGAAATAAAAGCCTTTATCGTCACTTCCATAGAGCAAGCCAAAATTAGACACCCTGATAAAAATTCAAAGTTTGCCTGCTTCCTGGCTTGACTTTTTTCAGGGCTGTGGCAGCAATGTTTGAAAGGTTA